GGCTGACCGTGATACAGTGATATGTATATATATATATATATATATATATACACACACATATCATACATACATATATATATATCACGATATCTCTCAGGGCTGAAGCGATAGTACTGCAGGCAGGACACTTGCTTGCACACAGCCAGATCGAGTTTGATCCCTGGGACCCCATATGGTTTCTCAAGCCCAGCTAGGAGTGATCCCTGAGCGCAGAGCCAGAAGCAAGCCCCGAGCATGCTGGATATGTCCCCCTCCAACCCTCCCTCCCCATTTGAGGGATATAAGGAAATACAGCAAGGGGAGTCTGTCTACAGAACTGAGTTTATGTGGGTCTTGCGGAGGCGGTGGGCACTGGGATGGACCCCGGAGACACGGGTGGAGGGAATCAGGCTCCCGAGTGAAGGTGTGGTGTCAGAAGGATCTAGGCATGCAGCGTACAATGAACAGGACTGTAAATCCGAACGCCTCAGTAGCAATGGTTCAAAAGGAACAAGAGTTTCTTTCCTGGGCAAGGGAAGCAGCTGGGACGTAGGCCTTGCATGTTCGGTGCCTGGTTTGGTGCCCAACACGGTGGGGCTTGAGCAGTGCCCATCTTCAGGCTCTCGCCTGGTACTGCCAGTTCAGCTGCTCGCCTGGTAATCCCTGAGACCTCCACCATCGCAAAAAAGAGGGTTCTTTTAATCCTAATTGAGCAGCACCTACTTGTTTGCCTAACTACCTATTTTTTTTTTAAAAAAAGGGAAATTAAATACCAAGATTGAAATATGTTTAGTTCACTCAAGTATACTTGTTTTATTTATATATTTGGGGCAGGGAGGGCCCACACCTGGCAGTGCTCAGGGTCAACTTCTGGCACTGTGCTCAGAGATCACTTCTGTTGGTCCTTAGGGGACCATATGTAGCATTGGGGACTGAACCAGTCAACGACATAGAAGGCCAATGCCTTCAACTATTGTGAAGTTGAACATCTTTTGTTTTTCTTCTAATTTTTTTAGGGGGGGAGGGGATCACACCCAGCGATACACAGGGGTTACTACTGGCTCTGCACTCAGGAATTACTCCTGGCGGTGCTCAGGGAACCATACGGGATGCTGAGAATCAAACCTGGGTCGGCTGCGAGGAAGGCAAACGCCCTCCTCACTGTGCCATCGCTCCAGCCCCTAAACATCTTTTTCTTTTAGCTTGTTAGTCATACTGACCTCCTTGTCCAATGCCTGGGAATATACCTCTAATTGCCTCCTCAAATCTCAGACCTCAAAGAGCTGATCACATTCTTGGCTTTACTTCCCAAAAAATTTAGAATTCGCACTGCTGTCCTTTCTAGGGGCAACCCCCCAGTGGTGCTCAGGGTTGGGGGGCCCCAAGTGGTCCGGAGGATCAAACCCAAGCCTCCTGTTGGTTGAGCTGGCTCCAGTGGAGAGTTCCTATCAAAATCTGGGCGCTCCCAAAGAGCTGGCCGGAGACAGATGCCAGGTCCCAAAGGGAGAAACCAGAGTCCTTGTGCGGAGGGTGACAAGCTGTGTTCTGGGTGGCCAGTGGCCCCCAGCATCCTTGGTCCCCAGCACCCATCTGCTCCCACACACAGTCCTGACAGTTCAGCAGCCGTGGCAGCAGGGGTGATGGGAGGGGTTGAGGAGGCAGCCAGCCAGGCGGTTCCCATCTCTGCGCCTCTTCTCCCTGCCCTGAACCCCCAGTGCTCCTTTGGGTGCATAGTTACTCCCCCTCCCTGCCACCAACCGCAGGCCCCAGCCTATGCTCCCGGATTACTTCCACTCAACCTAATCGTTCCACTCCCCCCTGACCTGGCCCTCTCTCCAGAGAAAGGACTAAAAGAAAACCAACAAAGCCCTCACTCAAAACAAACAAACAAAAAACCCCTGTAGCTCCAACAACAAAAAATGGGAAGAGGTGAAGAGACACTTCTGCCAAAAGGACAGAGAAATGGAGAACAGCACAGGAAAGAGCATCCATTATCACTTAGTACCGGAAATGCAAGTCAAAGGGACAATGAGGTATCACCTCACACCAGTGGGAATGGCACAGATCCCCCAAAAAATGGAATCAAGTGGGTGCAGGGATGTGGTGAGAAAGGAACTGCTCCCAAGAACACAGACTGGACCAGCATCTGTGGGGGTACACAATAAGCAGAAGCCCCCCAGCGGGGAGCATGGCGCTGCCCTGGACCCAGCTACCCCACTGCAAGGCATCACTCTGATAGTAAAACAAACGAGACCCTTTAGTCATTCAGCCTTAGTGGCATCCAAAGCCTTAAGTACGGGTGACTTTCCTGGTTTCTCACCCAAGACTCTTCAGAGGCTCAGAGACATATCAGAGTTCTCCTAGAACACAGAACTCAGCATCCGTTCTGGGGCCTGCACGTCCCCTCCTCCCCATCACTCCTTGATGCCAGGCTGCCAATGTCCCTCAGTCTTACATTATCCGAGAAACGCCCTCTGTTCCCTGTGTGGCCTCAGAACGCTAAGGAATCACTTCATTTTACAATAAAATAACCATGCCTGTAACTGCTGAATGTGAGCAATCAAGGTAACGGAGGCCGGGCATTTAGCTGCGACTTCAAACCCCACTCTCTCCTTAAACCACTGCCCGTCCTCTTCCGCAGTCTATCATCATACTTTGTCTTGCATTTTAGTGATTTCTGTAATTTTCTGTTCCTCAATTCACCTGCGTGTACCCTTCCATATAGAGAAATGTTTTTCCATAGGAAGTAGAACCTCAGGTTTTGTTGGAGTTAAAATTCCAATTAAAAAAAAAAGGAAAAAAAAAACCCAGAGAGATTCAAAAATAACACCGCTTCTTGGTGGGACAAGAAATAAAAGATGGGGCTAGAGTGATAGCACAGCGGGTAAGGCATTCGCCTTGCATGCAGCCAACCCGGGTTCGATTCCCAGCATCCCATATGGTGCCCTGGGCACCACCAGGAGTGATTCCTGAGTGCAGAGCTAGGAGTAACCCCTGTGTATCACTGAGTATGACCCAAAAAGCTGTCACTGTCACTGTACCCCCGTTGTTCATCAATTTTGCTCGAGCGACCACTAGTAACATCTCACAACAAATTGTGAGACTTGTTGTTACTGTTTTTCGCATATTGAATACGTCACGGGTAGCTTGCCAGGCTTTGCTGTGCAGGCAAGATACTCTTGGTAGCTTGCTGGGCTCTCTTAGAGGGCCGTAGGAATCGAACCCTGGTCGGCTGTGTGCAAGACAAACACCTGCTGTGCTATTGCTCCAGCCCCCCAAAAAGCTAAAAAAAGAAAAAAAAGAAAAAAAGAAAAGACTATTGGTAGCACCCAAGTACCTGTTCCCTACCTGGGCGCGCCAATATTAATTTAAAAATTCTCTGAATACAGCTGTAAAGTCCTTCACAATGGGAAATCTGAGGTGAGCTTCTGAAGATTAAAGGCAGGCCAACCATGTGTGAAAATCTGACATACTCAGTCTTGCTCTGTCTCCTCAATGCAGCCCAACTATGCTACTTATTCAGCCTGGCTGTGCCATCCCTGTCTTCAAACCTTCCACCTTGGCCCAGGGAGACAGCTCAGACAGTTAGAGCATCCCCAGGTATGCCAAGCACTGCATGGCCCCCCAAGCCTGGCGGAGAGGCACCCTGAAACAAGGTTGGCAGAGCAGCCCCTGAGCACCGTGGAGGGTTTGTCTCCCTTCCACCTGTCTGGCCTGCTTCTCACCATGGTCACCTGCACAGCGAGAATTGCCCCAGTCTTCTGCTGGGTTCTCTCCTCTTCTTCAAAGTCCGCCTGAACAGGCCTTTCCCAGCTGGGTGTCGGAGCTAGACAGAGTTCCCGGGCCTGGCACGCTGCCAGAAGTGACCCCAGGCCCCTGCCCGGAGTCAGGAGTGACCCCAAACCCACAGCTCGGGTTGAAAACCAGACTTCGCGGTCCACGTGACCTTGAGCGGCACCTCTTAGGGCCTCAGTTCCTTCCTCTACAGCTCGGACACGAATTAATGCTGTTGCTGGAGAGGGGGGGGGGAGTGGATCTCCGTGAATTAACGCACGTGATGTAATGCACAACCTTCCTGCCCCCCGCCCCAAAATAGTAAAAAAGAAGGGGTGGGGTGGGCGATCCCGTTTGGGACACTTAGGTGTTAGACTGTTTCTTCGTGGCACTAGCTACACTGTTCCAGAACCAGCGGCCCACGCGCGGACCGCTCGCTCCAGCTCCGCGGGGCCCCGAGTGTCCGAGTCCCACACGGGCCAGTGATTGACAGGCCCCGAGACCGAACGCCTGTCCCGGGGCGGCCGCGACCCCTCGGGTGCTGCAGCTTCCGAGCTGGGCAGCAGCGGTGCAGCCTCCAGCGGGGGACGTGCACGCACCCTTCTCGGTAAGGCCTGAGCAGCAAGTGCCATAAGCCAAGTGCAGTGGCCTGATGGAAAATAGTGATAAAAAAATACAGAAATAAATTTTTTTCAAAGTGCCACTTAAGGCGCCGGCCGGAGAGAGTGGTGGGAGGGCGAGTTCTCAGCCCCGGTGGGCTGGGGCAGGGCGAGCCCCCAGCTCGGCGGGGGTGAGGTGGGGGTGGTGTCCGTGGAGGAGGGATCGACTGGAGTGTGCTGGGGGTGGGGGCGGGGAGGGTCGGGGGTCCGAGCCGCGCGGGGCCCGGGCCTGCAAAGCCGCGCCCTGGGCCCCCGCCTGCCGGTCCTGCAGACGAGCCTCACCTCCTGCACTTTCAGTTCATCCAGAGTAGGCAGCTCCACTATGCCCGGCATGGTTGCGGCGGGCCCGACCCCGAGGAGGTGCCCACGGCCGCGGCGCCCCCGTCTCCTTGAACTCCCCTCTGCGCGGCCCAACCGGGACAGCGAGGCCCTGCGCATGCGCGGCCCGGGACGCGCATGCGCGCGGCGGTGTTCGGTGGCCGGCCCCGGGGCGTGCGCAGAGGCGGAAGGGGTGGCCGGGCCGGGGGCGGGGCTCCGCGTAGGCTCCGCCCAGGCCGCTGGTTGCCTTGGTGAGGCGACTCCCGCTGGGACGCTTGTCTCCGGCGCCGAGCTAGAGCCTAGCGGTCATGCAGTACACCGGGAGCCAGTATTTTGGGGAATATGTGCATGGGAGGTAAGGGCCGCGCTCCGTGAGCTAGGTCTTCAACGTCTGGGACGGCTGGCGCGCTTTTTGCCTTCTTGCAAAGGACCTTACCCCACTCGCACTTCTTTTTTTCTTTTGGGGTCACACCCAGCGATGCTCAGGGGTTACTCCTGGCTCCTGCACTCAAGAATTGCTCCTGGCGGTGCTCAGGGGAGCATATGGGATGCTGGGAATTGAACCTGGGTCGGCCGCGTGCAGGGCAAACGCTGAGCCCCACTACTCAGACTTTTAACCTTCCAGACTGCTCTTGCGTAAAGAATTGGATTTTGTTTGCTGGATGGGGCAGAGGAACACATCTCACAATGCTCAGAGGCTTCCCCCCATCCCGTGCTCGAGGGTCGGTCCTGGCCAGTGCAGGGGAGACTGTCTGTGGTGCCTGAGACTGAATCCAGGCATCCTGCATGCACAGCGTGCACTCTAGCCCTGTGGGCTGTGTCTCTGACCCCAGAGAGAAAATAGTTTCTTTTCGTTTTACAGTGGAGGAAAATGGATACCCAGTGAAATGAGATAAACTGTTCAAGGATACGTATGGAATCACAGACCTCGCTGAGATTCATTCATTCCAGGGAGGTTGCATTGCATTTGCTCTCTGATGGGTCTCATTCTCCTAAGTAGCCTTGAATATAATCTCAAGGCTAGGATGAAAGAGACGTTACTGGGGCCTGCTCGAGGCAACCGACGAATAACAGGATGATGAAATGAAATGAAAATTGCTCTCTGCCAGTTTTAGATATTTGTAGTAAAATATGTGAAACGCCAAGATCCTTGCCCCCACTCATAGTCCTTACAGTCTAGTAGCTGTATGGCCAATAAATAAGCAGCTGATTTCAGATGGCGCTTTTACTGAACTTCCATTGTACAGATGAGAAAAGTGAGGCTCAGAGTATTTACAAACTTGCTGGAAGTGATCTAGTTAGCATTTGGCAGTTGAGAAATTGAAATCCAGGTCTGTCTCTAAAACCCATATTGTTCCTCCATAGAGGCTGCTTCTGAGCCCATTTACCCCATTGGGACAGTCCTGGAGAGCTTCATGGAGGAGACAGTACTAGGTAGAGAAGCAAGGTGAAGAATGTTTATGGGATGTGCAGGAATTCATAAGGCTGTACATATGGGACCTGCCGAGAGAGAGAAAACTGGGGTTAAGGCGCTTGCCTTGCATGTGACTGATCCCAGTGAATTCCTGGCACCACATACGGAACTTTAAATATCCCTGAGCACAGAGCCAGGAATAGCCTCTAAGTACTGCAGAGTGTACCCCTCCCCCCAAAAGAGAAAATACTCAGGCTGAGAGAGGTGTTGGGGCTTGTCCAAGGCTCCAGAGACACACAGAAGTCGAGGCACGCCTCGGAGGGCTCAGAAATTACCCCAGTATTCAACAGAGGCACCCAAATTTAAAGAAATTCCAAGGCAGGCGAGGTGACCCAAGCTAACAGGGAAGGAATGAGGCATATTTTTCTATTCCTGTTGTTTTGGTTTAGGGGCTACAACCAGGGATACTCTGGGGCTACTCATGGCTCTGTGCTCAGGGAGGCTTCCTGGTGGTGCTGCTTGAGCAGCTTCGTGGTAAGCACTGTGTCTGAGATGAACTGAGGTAGTGTCTAACGGTTTTCATGGTAATGGAGTTAACATATAGTGAGTGCTTAAGAAATGTGCTCTTGGGGCTGGAGCAATAGCATAGCAGGTAGGGCATTTGCCTTGCACACGGCCAACCCAGGTTCGATTCCCAGCATCCCATATGGTCCCCCGAGCACCGCCAGGAGTGATTCCTGAGTGTATGAACCAGGAGTAACTCCTGTGCGTTGCCAGGTGTGACCCAAAAATGCAAAAAAAGAAAAAGAAACGTGCTCTTCAGTAGAAATGACATCTGCACCTGTATGTTCATTGTAGCACTGTTCACAATAGCCAGAATCTGGAAACCACCCAAGTGCCTGAGAACAAGCAACTGGTTAAAGAAACTATGGCACATCTGCACAATGGAATACTATGCAGCTGTTAGGAGAGATATGAGATTTTCTTATAAGCGGATGGTCATGGAGGGTATCATGCTAAGTGAAATGAGTCAGAAAGAGAGGGACAGACATAGAAGGACTGCACTCATTTGTGAAATATAAAATAACATAACATGAGACTGACACCCAAGGACAATAGAGACAAGGAGCAGGAATATTGCCCCATAGTTGGAAGCCTGTCTCATGAGCTGGAGGAGAAGGCAACTGGAATGGAAAAGGGATCACTAAGTCAATGATGGTTGGAGAAATTGCTCAGGATGGGAGATGTGTGCTGAAAGTAGATAAAGGACCAAACATGATGGCCTCTCAGTATCTGTATTGCAAACCCTAATGTCCAAATGTCGGGAGAGAGTATGGGGAAAATTGTCTGCCATGGAGGCAGGGGGAGGGTTGTAAAGGGGGCAGGTATATTGGGGACAGGTATACTGGTGGTGAAGAATGTGCAGTGGTGGAGGGAAGGGTGTTTGATCATTGTATGATTAAAACTCAAACATGAAAGCTTATAACTGTATCATGGTGATTCAATTTTTTAAAAAAAGAGGGAAAAAAAATGTGCTCTTGGGTTAGAGGGACAGTACAGGGGTTCCGCGCATGCCTCCAAGTGGCCAACCCCAGTGTGACCTGTGGTACTACCTGATTCCCCAAGTGCTGCTGGGAGCCACTCTAGAGGCTCCCAGACCCACCAAGTGCACCCTTGAAGTCCCCTGAGCACCACCCAGGTGCTGGGGGAGTCCCTGGCACAATAGGACCCTTGCATTGTTTATTTTTGTTTGTTTGGGGGGGCACACCTAGCAGTGCTCAGGGCTGACTCCTGGCTTTGTGCTCAGGGATCATTCCTGGCAGTGCTCAGTAGACCGTTTGGGGTGATGGGGAGTGAACCTGGGTCTGCAAGGAAGAACCTTGCCCACTGTACTATCACTCTAGAACCCTGACGTTGAGCCTCTCACCCAATGGCCAGAAATTGTTAGGAGGACCTCCTGACCACTGCCTGAGAGACCCTCCCCCCAAAATAAATCAATAAACTAAATGCCATACTATTCCAACCAGGTTACCTGTGGTCTTAGGGGTCAGAGTGGTCTGGTCAGTGGGAACAGAGTGGACATGGGCCGGTTGCCTTCCCTACGCCTGCCCCCTTGCGTCCTCCAGCCCACAGGGGGCTCAGCAAAGTCCCCTCATGCTTACAGGATGGAGGGAAAGGCCGAATACATCCTCCCCACGGAAACGAGATACGTCGGGGACATGAAGGACGGCATGTTCCATGGCAAGGGAACCCTGTTCTTCCCCAACGGGAGACGCTACAGTGCCACCTGGGAGAAGGGACTGGTCATCGAGGTGATCGGGCAGGCAGGGGGCTGCAGAGGGGGCATCCCTGCCCCCCCACTGGTTCTCCTGCTCATGCCCTTCTCCCTTTCCTCTTCATCTCCCGGGATCAGGGTTTCTCCTCCTCACCCAGAAGGGCTCCTGGCATGTCCCTAATGAACCTCAGTCCCGTCATTGTGTTCTATGTGGCCCACCCGTCCCTATTGCTGGGAGTTGCGCTCTCCCTCTCTGACCGGGGACCACCATATTAGTTTCCCATTGTGGCACTGAAGGTCATGATCCACTCAGTGCCTTGAAACATCAGAAGCTTCTCGAAGTCAGAGTCTGAAATAGACCCACCCACTACCTTTCTTCTGGGACACCAGGGAGTTCTGTTTCCATTCCCTTTCTGGCTGCTAAAAGGTGCCTGAATTCTTGGCCGGTGGCAATGCATCATCCTGACCTTCCCCTTTACGTCAGCAGCTTTCTCTCTGTTTTTTTCTGGGGGGGCGGGCATCGTGGGGTCACAGTGGTGATGCTCAGGAGTTCCTCCTGGCTCTGCACTCAGGAATTACTCCTGGCGCTGCTCAAGGGACCATATGGGATACTAGAAATCAAACCTGGGTCAGCCACGTGCAGGGCAAATGCTCTACCCGCTGTGCTATCACTCTGGCCTCTCTCTCTGCTTTCATGATTGTCTCCTCTGACTTTCTCCCCACCCCACCCACACCTCTGTCTTAGAAGGGTTTGGTTTGCACTGGGCTGCACCAGACAATTCAGGATCATCTTCTCCCTGCAAGAGTGATAGCACAGGGGCTGGAGAGATAGCACAGTGGGTAGCGCGTTGGCCTTGCACTCGGCCAACCCCGGTTCAATTCCCGGCATCCCATATGGTCCCCTGAGCACTGCCAGGAGTAACTCCTGAGTGCAGAGCCAGGAGTAACACCTGTGCATCGCCAGGTGTGACCCAAAAAGAAAAAAAAAAAGAGTGATATTACAGCAGGTAGGGGTTTGCCTTGCAGGTGGCCGACCCAGGTTTGATTCCTGGCATCACATATGGTCCCCCAGTACCACCAGGAGTAATTCCTGAGTGCAGAGCCAGGAGTAATCCCTGAGCATCTCTGGTGTGACCCCAAAAAGCAAAAAAAAAAAATCCATCAGTTCTTATCCACAAGTCCCATCTGCAAAGCACTCACAGAGTCTAGCAGTTTGCTGGGATTCCTTTTGGAGATCCGTAATCCAATTTGCTACGTTAGTTTTAGGCACCTCCCCAGTGGCTTGTGGGATGAAGTGAGGGTGTTTAGGCCAGTGCTGTGTCAAGCACCAGGCACAGAGCAGCCACTGGGTACATGCTAGCTCCCGCAATTGCTGCTATTATCCTGCTAAGTCTTCCGACTGACCATCGTTCCTAACTGTTCTTGCTCAGTGGGCCATGAATAGAATTTGGGGCTCAGTGAGACCTTCTGACTTTGACCTACATTGATGTGTAAATATAGGGGACCCTCTTTTTCTCTGGGGAAGGATCTGTAGCTCTCCTTAGACGCACAAAGAATGTGTAGGGCGGCCAGCTCACGCCCTTCTGAAAGGTGAAGAGGTACTCCTTGGTGGATGGAAGCCCCAGGAAGGGGATGTGACCTACCCAAAGCCACACGGGGAAGGAGCAGTGTGGAATCCCCACCCTGGCTTCCTGCCTCCTGACACTTTCTGCACTGCCCGGCAACCCGGGCAGACGGTGTCTGTACAAAGGCCCATCACCTTTTTAGCTGTGATAATAATCAAAGTCATAAAAACTTGCCTTTTCTTTTTTTGTCATTGATTTTTGGGTTTTCTTTTTGATATAGGTGGACCCCCCACCCGGTGGTGTTCAGGGCTTACTCCTAGCTCTGCACTCAGGGATCACTCCTGGCAAGACTCAGGGAACCAGATGAGGTGCCAGGGGTCAAACTTGGGTCAGCTGCTTGCAAGGCAAGGGTCCCGCCCATTGTACTATCTTGCCGACCCCAAACTTGCCATTTCTATTCTTTTTTTTTTTTTAATTTTTGGGTCACACCCAGTGATGCATAAGGGTTACTTCTGGCTCATGCACTCAGGAATTACTCCTGGCGGTGCTCGGGGGACCATATGGGATGCTGGGAATCGAACCCCGGTCGGCTGCATGCAAGGCAAAGGCCCTACCTGCTGTCCTATGGCTCCAGCCCCATCGCCATTTCATAATGCTTACAAGAACAGACACTAGGGGCCAGAGAGATAGTATAGCAGTGGCGAGGGTGTTTGCCTCAAACACGGCTAACCCAGGTTCGATCCTCGGCATCTCATATGGTCCTCTGAGCTCTGGCAGGAGTAATTCCTGAGTGCAGAGCCAGGAGTAACCCCTGAGCATCAATGGGTGTGGCCCAAAAACAAACCAAGAAAAGAAGACACGCAATCAATGTTCCCTGAGTTCTCCTTGGGTCCCCACCATCATTATCCTGGTCTTCCAGGGGGGCAGACCAGGGTGAGAGGGGACCCCACAGTGAGTTGCCACAGGGCTCAGCCCTCGACACCCCGTCCTTGTCCGCATCAGAGCTGTCATCGGGCAGACATCACTTCCTCTCCCACAGCGAGAGAGCCGCCGCCACCCCCCCTCCTCCCTTGATGTCCCGCCCTGGCAAGGGGACATCCTTGGCAGCTTAGACACATGGGCCTGTGTCCTGTGTCGCAGGGCACCTACACCTTCGAGGACGGCCTGAAGTATAAGGACAAGTTCTGGCATTACTGTGACGGCTACGATCGGAGGTTTTACACCGAGATCCGCAAAGGCTTGAAGCCAGCAGGTACCGGCCACTGCCCATCCCAGCATCCCCCCACATTCACTAGGTGGTCTTTAGGTGGTGGTGGGGTGCTGTAGGTCACTAAGGTCACCCGCAAGGTTCCATTGGGGGACCACAGAGGGCAAAGGGGCCACTTCCTGGAGCCAGAATGACCAGGCCTCAAATCTCAGCAACACTGCCCCGGCTAGGAACCAAACTCGGGCAGGGCCTTGGTCAGTCCATGACTCAGTTTCTCCCCAGAAAAATGGGGGAAAGTTTGGAGAGTCTGCTGTTGCTAACACAATGCGTGGACAGACTCAGGCAGTGCCCCCAGATAGAAGTGAATCTTCCTGGGAGCAGACTTGGGTGGGCCGGGGCTCGGTGGAGCCTTAATGATCCGGATCATCTTTTATTTTTTTTTTGACTTTTTGGGTCATACCTAGTGATGCACAGGGGTTACTCTTGGCTCTGCACTCAGGAATTACTCCTGGCAGTGCTCGGGGGACTCTATGGGATGCTGGGAATCGAACCCGGGCCAGCCGCGTGCAAGGCAAATGCCCTACCCACTGTGCTATCGCTCCAGCCCCTGATCATCTTTTCAAGGTATCTGTCAGCTCACCAACATGGACCCGCCCAGGAAAGTCCCTCTCGGCCTTTACGACTGCGGGGATGGCTTCTACAACCCGACCACGAGAATCATCAAGGACTACAAGAACCGCTTCCTGAGAAACGCAGGTAGAGTCCCCCGAGCACTCGGCACACGTGGTCTTGTATCTCACCCACACCCAGGGACGTGCACATGTGTGTTTGCATGCATGGATGGACGCACGTGTATGTGCATGTCTGTGTCTGCCTGTGTGTGTGTGTGTGTTGGGGACATGCATTTCAGGAGAAAGCAGCTGCTACTGAAAAAGATAAAAAGGAATTATCTGAATGCTTCACGTGTTGGCATTCTCTACTATACCTTGGTAGAGAGTGAGATAAAGGACTTTAGTGGCCGCTGTGGCCGGTGGCCACTGAATGAGCATTAGGAGGAGGAAGTGCTGAGTTTTGCCTGCTTCTTTTCACCGAGTTTTTTTGGGTGGGGGTTGATTTGGGGGGCCACACCAGGCTCTGCTCAGGATTAGCACCCAGGGATCACTCCTGAAAGGGCTCAGGGGACCACACGGGATGCCAGGAATTGAACCCAGGTGGGCAGCATGAAAGGCAAGTGCCCTACTGTCTGTACCAGTGCTCCGGCCCCTCAGTGACACTTGAACACACAATAAGGTGCTGTGCTTGTGCTGGTCACCAGACTGCAGCTACGCACAGAGCCCCTTTCTCTCGGGCTCCTGGGTGGCGCTAGCTTGCTCGTGTACCACCAGAGGGGAAAATGGGACCTTGGACTACGGGGGGGCGGGGAGGAAGAGGTGGGGGTTCTAACACAGAGGGGTGACACGGAGGCACAGAGAAGGGGCAGCTCAGCCAGAGGCAGAGTTCTGGGAGGGAGTCAGGAAGGTGATGAGAAATGAGACCTGCTGAGCAGCTGGGAACCGGCCACCAGGTTGGGGAAAGGCCTAAAGGCCAGGGCTCCGGGTGTCCAGGAAGGCTGCTGAGGCCTCCCTCTGGGGGCGCATCTGGGAACGCAGGCCCGTCAAACTGGGCACCAGAAGCAATGCCCAGGAGGCTGGGCAGCACGTGAGGGCCCCGGGGCCAGACGGACAGCACAGGGGCCCAGGCACCTGCCTGGCATGCATCCCTCCCCAGGTCAACCCTCAGCTCCAGAGATGGTCCCCGAGCCCTGCCAGGAGTGATCCCTCAGCACCATCAGGTGTGGCTCCAAACAGACAGTCACAAGAAGAGGGCGGAACAATATTGACTTCCCTTTAATGGAGGGTTCCTAAGTTTTCTCAAGAATCACAGCTATTCTAGGTTTTACAAACACTATGGACCTCCTCCTAGGAAAATGCCCATTGATAAGCATACATGTATACATAGACCCCCCCCCACACACACACACTGCACATAGTCCTAAGGAGTTGGTGCTCTCCTCGCCCTCTCCCCTACCTCCTCCTCTCCCCTCCCCTCCTACCCTTCCCTCTCACCCTCTTCCCCTTCCTCCCCTCTCCCCCTCTTCTCTCCCCTCCCCTTCCTCTCTTCCCCCTCTTCTCCCCTCTCTCCTACCTCCTTCCCTCCCCTATCCCCTCACTTCTCTGCCTTCTCCCTTCCCTCCCTCTCTCCCGCCCTCTGTCTCTCCTTCCTTCCCTCCCTCCCTCCCTCTGTCTCCTCTCTCTCTCTCTCTCTCTCTCTCTCTCTCTCTCTCTCTCTCTCTCTCTCCTACAATCACATCTGTGCTTTTCCAGAAGCCACACTGCAACTGCCTTCAGTCCCAGAGTGGGGACGGGAAGTCCAGGGGACACGTGGCCCACCCCGGTGGGGACACCTGGAAAATCCTGCCTCAGGGAGCCCGAGGCCGCCAGCATCCTTGTGCAAAACAGTAGAGTGGCAATGGAGGAGAAAGGCGCAGACCAAGGTGTGGGCCGGCGGGCGGGCGGCCAGGGCTGCTGTGGCCATTCCCAGGGCACAGGCGGACTGCGGGCAGCTCGGGGCTCCCCGGAAGGAGGGGTCTGGCGGGAAGCAAAGGCAGGTACCACGCGTCCCTTCCAGAGGTGCCTGGTCCCCAGCCGAAAAGTGGCCCGGGGCAGGAGGATGAGCTGAGGTCAGAAGGAGCCGCCTCCCAGGTGCCTGCTGGCTGACCCGGGCCTGGGCTTTCTCTCGCTGGGTCCCCCGTTCTCTTCATCTGCCAAATGAGGGAGTCGGGCTGGATAATTTCTAGGGTCCTTCCACCCGTAAGCATCTCTGATGGAGGAGAAAGGGAGCCAAGGGGTATTTTGGTCCCGATATTATAGGACAGATGGCGCGCGGAGGGGAAGCCGCTAGCGCAAACCACTAACAGGGACTGTCTGCTCGGGGCCACCTAGTCATTACCCTTGACTCACCTCTCCCCGCCGGGACCGACCTTCCCTTTCCCCCCTGCATTCCGATCTGCCCCCACAGACAGTGTTTTCCTGCTGCCATCCTGAGGGCGCAGGGCAGCCGGCCCCGTGGGCCCAGGGCGGGTGACAGTCGGACGGATGCCAGTCCGGAGTAAACACGGCGGCCAGAACCACTGTTGCCAGGGAGCCCCCAGCCTCCTGGGTGGCTCTGAGCTGGGGAGGTCACGGGCAGGGGCGCCGGGAGGAAGGGGCATCTGGGATCACCTTGGCACACCTGCAGTCAGCGGGCTTGGAGGGAAGTTGTGATTTACAGATGTGCCCCGCTTACGGGGCTGGCAGAACTCAGAGCTTCTTTCCTCACCGGGCTGGGCTGGGAAGGGGGGGGGGGGGCGTGGGAGGCTGATCCCTACTGGCCAGGGAGGCCCAGGCCCTCCTCCTGTGTACGTGAGTCCTGGAGCGCCCCAGCCAGCCAGGCTCTGGGGATGGGGCCAGGCAAGAGGCCTCTGCGACCCTCAAGCCTCCGGACCCGACCAGCAGAAAGGAATGGGTTCCTTCTTTTTTTTGGGAGGAGGTCACACCCAGCGATGCACATCCTGGCTCTGCACTCAGGAATTACTCCTGGCGGTGCTCAAGGGGACCATATGGGATGCTGGGGATCGAACCCGGGTCAGCCGCATGCAAGGCAAATGCCCTACCCGCTGTGCTATCGCTCCAGCCAATGGGTTCCTTCTTTATTCCTTTAGGCAGTGGGTTACATGTAGTGGGGCCCGGGAGGCTGCGCCCAGTTCCGGGCGAGGCAGATCATGTAGGTCCGTTGGCTTCACACAGGGCAGGGCCTGCACTCAGGCCTCTGCACTTTCTCAGGATCCTGCTTGCGGCCCTTCTTTTGTTTGTTTTCAGTGCCAGGAACTGAGCCCAGAGGGTCTGTCATTTCAAGTTTGCGTCTCCTGGGAGCCAGGGAGGGAGGGGCGCAGGCTGCGATCAGGAAATGGGGCTCAGTGAGCAGGTGAGCAGGAGTCCCCTGGGCCCCAGCAGGAAGCAGTTCAGACAGCACCCATCCCCTCACCCCGCCACCCCAGTCAGTCCCTCAGCCCTGAAAGGCTCCCGCAAGGAGCTGGAGAGCCGGGGCAGGTCCGGAGCAGCTAACTTTGTATCTCCCGGGTGCCTCTGTTTCCTCATCTGTAAAATGGGCCCGTGGGTTTGACATTGGTCCTTACTCTTGAGAAATAGCAGCTTTTCACGTGCACAGCCCAGGGACTAGAGAAGTCACTCAGAGGTCAGAGTGCAAGCTTTGCAAAGAGGGAGCCTGGGTTCAACTGCTGGAACGGCAGAGTCCCCCAAACACTGGGCCTGGTGTCGCCCCAGAGCACCACTGGATGTGGCCCCCAAACAAACAAACAAGAAGACAGCCCTCCCCCCTCCAAAAAAAATGTGCAGCCTAGCAGCTGGGGAAACAGCTCAAAGTGATGGGTGCAGGCATCACATGCGAGGCTCAGAGTTTTATGTCTGGCATCTCATGCCCCCCACCCCACCCCCATCACCGGAATGGCCCCTGCCCCCCAGCACCTTTGGAACACCCCTATTTATTTATTTGCTTTTTTGGGTCGCACCCAGCGATGCTCAGGGGTAACCCCTGGCTCTGCACCCGCTGTGCGATCGCTCCAACCCCCTTATTAAAATAAATAAATAAATAAAAACCAAGTATTCGGGGCAGGAGGGGATGAGACCAAGTGAGAGTACAGCGGGTAGGGTGTTTGCCTGCACGCGGCGGACCCGGGTCCAATATCCGGCATCCTCTTTGGTCCCCCAAGCACCACCAGGAGTGGCTCCTGAGGGCAGAGCCAAGAGTAACCCCTAAGCATCGCTGGCTGTGGTCCAAAAAAGCCCCCCCCTTCAAAAAAAAGTGTGCGGCCCTGCAGTTGACCCCAAGCTTGGGCCCAGCGCTGGACAAGGTGGTTGCCGATCGTGTCTGCAAGTCTATGAAGGTGACGGGGTCACCTTTCAGGGATGAGAAGGGACTGCCAGGCCCTGGGACTTGCTAGCTTCCCCGAGGGTGCTTGAGAGAAGGGACGGCTCTGTGCTGGCCTGTGCCGGGCCCTGCAGGCCTGGCTGTCTTTGTCTCGGGAAATGAAATGCTACTGAAACTGGGGGCCAACGTCCTCGATGGCACCCCACTCGGAGCTCCTGGCCACCTCCTGCCCGTCTCTTCAGCTATCCCCTGTGTCTTTTCTCTTCTCCCTGGTGGAGTTCCCCCTCGCCGACCCAGGTGCCTTCCTCCTTTCCTCTGGCCCTTCCGACCACTTAGCACACAGCACCAGGCCGCCCTCTGCCCCTGAAGAATGGCGTGTGGTTCTCCTCAGTCATCCCACACCCGGGGGCCCGGAGCTGGGAAAAGGCACGGTGGGCACTAGGCAGCAGTCTGAACTGGGGGCACCTGGCCTGCCTCTCTCTGCTGGCTCCCCCAGCCCCTGACTCCTCCCTGCCTCCCCTCCCTTCCCAAGTGCATCCTCTGGGCAAGCCAAGGTAGACAGACTCATCCCTTGCTGGCTCAGATCTCTGAGTCCCTGTGGTCACAACCCAGCCAACTGCATCTCGCTTGTCAGTGCTGTGTTCCAGTCTATTCGGTCTGTGCTTCAGTTCCCTCCCGCCTAGACTGAAGGGCCCAGGCTGTCTCCTTCCCCCCAGGCTCCCCCCCAAACACCTTTCCTGAAGCCCAGCGGGAGCACTGTGATATTCCTAAGTGCCCTGCAGAGGTCCTCT